AGACCGCGGGACGTTCGGCGTCATTATAGCGCAATACGCCGGATGCGAGCCTGATGGCGGCCTCGAGGGCTCCTGGAGGCCCCTGAAATGCTGCTGAACCCCCCTCCCCCCCAAATCTGGAATTTGGGTCAGGGAGGAGAAAGGGAACAGCCAGGAAATTCCGCGCATTCCCCGCTGCTTAATTAGATATCCCGGCTCAGGCCCGGACCTGAGAGCCAAATCACCGAACAATCGAGGACTTGAAGAGCGGCCCGCCGGCCCCTGTCACAGATCCCCCCCTCCCCCGCAGCTTTATTCCACCATGCAGGCAGGCAGACAGGTTCTGGAGGGTTCCCATCAAAGTGTGAGCAAGAGGTCCTGACACCAGGGGGCGCCACAGCATCATGGGAAAGCTGCCGGGGCCTCGTTCCAAGCTTTGTGGAAGAGACTGCACATGAAACACGCCGCGGTGCTCGCTGTACTCAGCTCTGCGTTTTCATCCATTGTCATTTTATGAGGGGATGGGGGAGGAGGTGCGGCGGCCATAGCCGGAGGTGAGACTTGCCTTCCTCCACCACCGTTCAAAGCTGAACTCCAGGCAAAAAGCTAAATACGCTGATGTACACTATATTGCCACAAGTATTGGGACGCATTTAGACGCACATGAACTCTAATGGCACCCCAGTCTTAGTCCGTAGGGTTCAGTATTACAGAACTATATCCGTTTGTGTTGATCAGGAGGGCGGTATTAGGCGGCGCTTGAAGCTGTTTTGTACCATGGCTTTTATGCAAGACTCCTACATGCCTTATTTTAGACCCTGTGATGTCATCATTGGGTCTCTATGCAATGCAGACAGATCATGGCTGGTGGGAGGGGCTAGCAGGGAGCTGTAAATGAAAACAACACAGCACCTTGCCTCAGTACTTCTCTCAAGAGCCCTTATGCAAGCAGTGGGTTGTCTCTTGGGAGGAGTTATGCAAATATAAAAATGCCTTGATGGGGGTGTCAGTCTGGAGGAGTGGGTGTTCCTAGGCACGCTCTATTTGCATACAGCCCACCCTAGGTAACACCCACATTTATTGCTGAGCCTATGTGATTGAAAAAGCTTAAAACCAATGAAAGAAAGGGGAGGGCCCTGAAATCCAGAGAACGCCTAACTTCCTGTTTAAGCTGACAACGCTGCCTCTGCTTACACTGCAATAGCAAGCTGTGTTGGCAGCCCTGGCCAGTTCACTCTTCTTGACTACAGAGCATCTACCCCTCTCCTTCAGAGGGTGTGCTCTGTAGTCCAGCAGAACTCTGGTAGAGCTGACAACATTGCTTGGGGTTTCAGTGCAGCAGAAGCCGTGTTGTCAGCTCACTACAGGAAGTCAGGAGCCCCCGGGATGTCTGACAGATTTTGAGGTATTTTTGTAGTAACGTTTTTACCCGACTTACATACGGAATTGTTATAACCGGCACGCAGGAGGACTTGTCCCGGAGGACCATTTATAAACGGCACGCAGGAGGACTTGTCCCGGAGGACCATTTATAAACGGCACGCAGGAGGACTTGTCCCGGAGGACCATTTATAAACGGCACGCAGGAGGACTTGTCCCGGAGTGTGCCGGATGGACACCTGCGATTGAGCCGTCATTACACACCGCAGATCACATGAAGAATGTACAAAGCCAATCAGAGCAGCTCTGTACCTTGTGATGGTTGTGAACCAATCAGAGTGATCACAAGTATAAACACTGCACACGTTTATAAACATTCAGCCCCTCCCCTTCCTCTCACACCGGGGGGAGCAGGATTGCAGAAAGGAAGGGGTGGGGGCAGCATATTCAAGGTGGGAGGTTTATAGTGCCACGGACCACCAATGATTGAGGGGGGAGGTTAAAAGTACCCCTGCGCCACAATGATGGAGCAAGTAGGACAAGAGAGGGGGTTTTAAAATTACACAGACCCCCAATAAAGAGGAAGTGAGGGAGCTAAAATGTAACTGACCCTCCAATTATCAGGGAGTGGGAGGGTTTAAAATTATCAGGGAGTGGGAGGGTTTAAAATGTCCCTGATCTTTAATGAGGGAGTGGGGGTTTTAAAATGCCCGACT